AGGACACACTTCCGGTGATGTCAGGGGGTGTGGCATATGCTAATGAGTTATGCTAATGAGTCCCCCTAGCTCTTTTTCTATGAAATGACCCCTGCATGAAGGTATGCATCTTCTGCCACTGTTGTTTGTGCCTCTGTTTTTAAACCCTTTCCCCTGTGCTGTTTCCATGATCTCAGTTTCTTGAGGCTTTCCTTTGCCCTCAGGTTTGGGGGGTGGGGGACATAAGTGCTTGTATCAAAATAGTTTAAGCCAGCCCAGTTCTATAGACAGTTGGCATGTCTCCTAGAATAATGTTGCAGGGAGAGAGAAAAGGAAGGGGTAGACCTATTGAAGTTCATGTCATGGGAAGTCATAATGGAAGAGTGCTCTATCCCTGGCCTTGCATAAAGGATGACTGCACAGCCGGCAAGAACAGAGTAGACGGGGTTAAGCTGCGACCTATCCAAGATGCAGTTGTAATTCTGGGAGGTAAGTGGTTGCAGGGGTCATTTCCTGCAGGAGCACGCAGGAGCGGAGCTCCGGCAGTAAAGAGCCCAGGGGGCGGGCACATGCAACAAGCCCCACCCTCTGCTCCCAGCAGCCCTCAGTCAGAGCAAGAAGCAGCCAGGTAAGCTGCAGAGCCCCCCCCCCCCGGCCCAAAACAGTCCAATAGCACCCTTAAGACCAAGTTTTATTCAGGTACAAGCTCTCCCTCCTCTGCGAGGACAGATCTGCACGTTTCCCCCCACCCCCAATAGCTAGCAATCCAGAACAGTCCAGTGGAGCCTGAGCGGTGGGTGTTGCCTTCTGACACACTTCCGGTGCTGTCAGGGGGGGTGGCAAATGTTATGATCATGAGTTATGCTAATGAACTCCTGCCCCTCTTTTTCTACGAAATGACCCCTGAGTGGTTGCATCGAAACAGTTTAAGCCAGTCTAGTTCTATAAATAGAAATACTCCAGTTTGCTTCTCTCCCAGGATACTGTTTGGCACAGACTCTCCGTGGCTGTAAGTTCTACATATGTAAGCAAGACCAGCTACTCTTCAGGAAGAACAACCTCACCGTAGCCATGTTGAAAGTCTTCAAACACTGGGATAATGGGCCTGCCCGCAAAAGCATCTGCCTGATTCACCAAAGCCTCCTTTACAGTCCTGTAGCCTGTCAGAACGACCATTTTCTGGACTCCCAGTTGGATGCTGTAGACAGGGCCGTACTGCTTCGATAACTGAAAGGCAATGAAAGGTAAATGAGAGACATAGTTCCGATCATCCATCTAGGGAATGCTAGGCACATTTGGTAAAAAAATTGTTGACCAGATATATATGCGCACTAGGAGTGTGCATTCGGTTTCCCCGAGCCGAAAATTATACCTGAAAAATACACCCAAGAAAAATGCCAGAAATATCTCTTTAGAGGAGGATAGAGTTGCCAACTCTGGGTTAGGAAAATCCTGGAGTGTTTGGAGTAGAGTTTATGTGTGGAAATGTGCTGTTGAGGCTTTTAATTGCATGGAGGTAAACAGGATCCTATTCAGCCTCTGTTAAAGGGACACAACATTCTTCTCCCAGCACTTGCCAACCCTAGGATCTACTCAGTCCTAGAGTGATACACTAAGCACCAGAAGACCATACATTCTATCCCCATTTAATACATACAAATACACCCAGGCATTTGGGGGGGTTTAAATGGTTGTGCAACAGGTAGAACTTCAAAGTAGAAAGGTGAAAATAGGCTAAGTTTTCTTTATACAGGTACTTTATAGCTTTGAAAAACAAAATTACTGTTTTCCTGATCATACTATGGTCTCCAGGGGAGAAGTTATAAAAGTTAAACATATATTAAGTGTTGTACATGTTTTGCATGTTCAAGTAAGTTTCTCTTGAAATCTTTCAGCTTCTCCCCCCCCCCCACCTTTGAAGGGCATAACAATAAACCAACCATTTGAGACCCCGGTCACATGGGGGGGGGAGCACAGCCAAAGCGCGGCTTTTCTAAGCCGCAGCAAAATATACGCGTGGCGGCGGGATCAGACAGATCCCCCTAGCCGCCGCGCAGTTGCTCCCCGGCATGATCAGATGGCGGGGGGGGGGAGCCACGGGACGGAGAGCGAGGCAGCCAGCTGTGCATGTGCGGACATGCGCAGTTTGGCCGGGAGCCTCGAATGCTGCGGAAGACGGGTGCGCCGGCGATCCCACGGCCGCTCTTGCTGTGGCGCTTCAGTTAGGTAGTACTCTTTTCTAGTTTGTTTTTTAAAGTACCCATAAGGTACACTTTTATTATTTTTCATATTATACACCAACAAACAAACATACTACATAACAAACATCCACTTACACTCATAAAACATACAAAGAGATCAGTATATTTTCTTATAACTCTATTACCATATTTAAAGAATTTCTATAAGTTTGCTTAAGTTTCTGTATACTCTTCTCTTTTTACCATAGTTTCTATTTAACTTTAAAAGATTAATAATACCAAAAATTTCATTACTTTAAGCTATGCATTTATATTGTACCAATCATACAGTTTTTTCCACGTCTTTTGAAATGTTGGGTCTGTTGTCCCTCTCATCAACGATGACAATTTATCATTTTCAGCCGTCTCCAACAGTTTATTCACATATTCTTGCTTCTTTGGTTTTCTTGGGTTTTTTTTTTTTTTTTGATGCGTGTTTCCCCCCAGAAAGGACGGATTGGGGACAGGTGCGCTCCGCTTCCCAGATGTTGCGGTGTGATCGCGCCCTGAGTAGATATCTTTGCACACAGGACACCCACAAAAAAACCAACACACCAGGGGAAGACTAAGTTGGATCGCTTCTCCCTAACATCTAGTTTTCCATGGGCAGAAGAGCTTATTTCATTTTATGAATTGATTCTCCACTTTTCTCTCCAATGGGCACCTAGAGGAGCTTACACCAACAGGATCTCCTGCCTGGCTGCTGAGTTGCAGATTCCCTTCCTTTCCTTTCAAACCTCTCTGGCTGCATTGGAGAACGATGTATATGTGTGTTGTCACTTTATCAAGCCACAGGGGGAAGACAGAGCATGTGTATGGAGCTTGGCCTCCCTAGTTGCAGGTCTCTGGTATTTTCTCGGACAGAAAGGGCAAAGACTGGATTGTCCAGTTCAATACATCCAGCACTGCCCTTTCCCAAGGGAAGGAATCATCCTGCAGATGTGGTTTACACGGAATCCAGAGAAGTAGGACTACAACCCTATGCATCTTAACCTAAGATGAACCGTTTGCCCCTGAGATGCAAGTTTTCTATCTGTAGGGAGGTTTTTTGAAAAATTAAAGCAGCATCCAAACATATAAATTTACCCATCTATAGGTCTTGGTGCTAGCACCTGGAAACACTGGCTGTGACTTGAGGGCACTTTCCACCACTACCTTTCTTCTCCCTTAGCTTGTAGGAATTTGTTGGCCTAATAAACTTAACAGCTTTCCCTGCCTTCCAAATCAAGGTATGACTGCTGGGGTTTCAAGGAAGGTCTAATTTGAGTCCCAATAAGGGCAATCTTAAGAACACAGTAAGCTTCACTGAATAGACCTGAGCGAGATTCCGAGTTGACTCAGTGGTGCACGATCCCCCTCGAACATAGCTGCGATTCCAACTTTCTATATTTCCACTATTATTAATTTCTGTATTTTTGCTATCATTTCCCGTCCCCCAACTCAATTTTCAATATCTTCTGTTAGAACAGCAATAAGATATGAAGTCCATTTCAACTGGATTATGGACTCTCCAGGAATAGATCAGATCTAAATTCTGGGGAAAGGGGTTTTGAGGAATGTTTGGTTTAACTTGGTAGAGGTCTATGGATTTATTCCTGGCACTGTAATGGTTCAGTTATACAGAGTGCAGTTACAGCAGTAATTACTTCTGATATATCAATTACATTTTACTAATGCATAAGCAAATTATGCAATGTATGTCTTCACATTAATGCTCACACTTGGGATGGAGAAACTTAAAGTCTCTCTGCCCTACGAGATCAGCACAAGACAGGGATCTAGAACAGAACTAACAAGAAGGTTACCTTCATCATGGTTCTGTAAGGCCTCTTCACATCCATGAGGTGGAGGTTTCCAATGAGCGGTAATGGGCGTGGTCCTGGTGGGAGATTTTTGCCACTGCCCTTCCAGAAATCACTCCTTTTCCAAAGGAATGCAAGTGCTAGGGCAAGTAGGAACAACACAGAAATAGGATCCATCCAATCCATTTCCTGCTAACAAGAAGTTGCTTGTAGAGGTTACAGAGAAATTTGCTATGGAGGGCTGTTTCTATCCACTGAAATGAGCAGCACGATTTTCTTTATATAGTCCTGGCCCAGTATAAGCTCTCACCAATCATCCAACCCATGCCTTTTTAAAGAAATATTCTCCAATGTTCTGTGTGCTCCATCTATAAAAACCCTGTGTTTGAATGGGTGGTGTCTAATTCATCAAATGGAAACTTGACAGAAGAGGTCTAAACTCTCTTGACTCCAGACTGAACATCCAGTGCCTTCTTACCTGGAAGGCTAAGCTAGTTAATGATCTACTGGGTCAAAAGAGTTGTGTTGCCAATGAATAGTTGGGTTAACTACCTAACTTGTTGTTATTAAGACATTTCCGACAGTTGAACATGACTTTCTGAACTGTTTTCCCATTGTATACATGACAAATATTTTGAAATGAATGTAAGACACCTGCTCCATTTCAGCCTGTCTAGATATGAGGGGTGCAAAGGGAGAGAGATGTGCATTTTTTTGTAGTGCGACTTGTAACTTCCGGAGTCGTGTGATGTGCACAAAAGTTTTAAAGAAGTGGCTCATTGTTGGGTCATTTTAATGTTAACATCCTGTATCTTTGTTATTGATATTGCACATCCCTTTTTAAAAAATCTATTAATTTATTTCAAATTATTTCAAATTTGGGGAAACTATTTCTGGCTGTAATCCCCCCCCCCCGGATCTACCTGAGATAAAATTCTGTGTGACTGATAACCCTGTATCCAAGGAATCCTCCTGCCTCTCAAATTGCAGACAAAGAGGAGAAAGTCTTGCCATTTTCACAATAGCACACTTCACGGTACCATTTGATTTCTGATACAGTCTAAGCAGAAAGAAGGAGAAAATTGAGGTACGTTTGCGGTGGATGCAAAATGATTGAAAAGACAGCAGAATACTTAGAGACTGCTGTAACTCAGTCATTCTTGGCCATTTTTTGTGTAAAATATTCTTAGCTTTCACCAGGCACATTCCTTGTACAGTATTCTGAGATTACAAATTGTCATGTTGGAATTTTCAGGCTTTATAATGGCAGAGCATTGAAACTCAACTGTATTGTTTTCCTCTCTGTAGTTTAACCCCTGCTATGTAACACCTGTAAGAGCACCTCTCTGTAATGCTCTGAAATAACCTGTATAATGCTCCCTCCTTGACATCCTTAGCGTTTACTGATGACCTTTGCTGCCACCTTTAGACCTCTTGGTTTAACCTGAAGAAATGGATGAGTTATTTAGCTTGGGTAGAATGACAGGACAGTTATCGCCTGGAGGTGACTGTGAGTCAACAGGGAATCCTTTATTCTAAACAAAATGGCTGCTTTTGCTTTAACAGAAATATAGTTTCCTAAGAAGTGTAAAAACGTAATTGATTCAGTGTAGTTGAAAAGCGTAATGGTGTACACCAGTCTGGTGTAGTGGTTAAGTGCGCGGACTCTAATCTGGGAGAACCGGGTTTGATTCCCCACTCCTCCACTTGCACCTGGCTGGATGACCTTGGGCAAGCCGTAGTTCTGATAAGAGTTGTTCTTGAAAAAGAGCCATTTCTGTCAAGAGCTCTCTCAGCCCCACCTACCTCACAGGGTGTCTGTAGTGGGGAGGGGAAGGGAAAGGAGTTTGTAAGCCGCTCTGAGACACCTTTGGGTAGTGAATGGCGGGGTATAAATCCAATCTCCTCCTCCTCCTCCTCCTCCTCCTCCTCCTCCTCTTCTTCTTCTAAATCTGCTAGTTTTCTGGTTGCAAGGTAGGCGCAGGACCTAGCTAAATAGACCTAGCTACATAGCCACAAAGGCTAACTTTTCCTCTCTTTTTTTTTTTGACACACTCACATTAGAACCACAGAGAAATTCTCCTATAAATAATGAGTGGACAGCTTATTAGAACTTAGAGGTGGGAGAGACTCTGGGAGAAGCCATCCCCCATTAGATCAGGTGCCATTCATGAGTACTTGATTCTGCACTCTCCAACATAGTAGGGGCAAAGCCAGGCACATCAGCGGATGACCACTTCCTCTTTGCCATCACTGAGAAGATCCAGCCTGCTTTTGTTCCCGGCCATTGAAGTTGATTCAGGGGTGCCCAGGGCTATTTTTGGGCATTAACGCACAGGAACGGAGTTCCGGCTGGCTCCCAAGCTGGCCACGCCCAGCAGGAACTCATTAGCATAATAGGCCACACTCAACAGCAGAAACTCATTCGGATTGGCTACAATTAGGGGTGTGTGGCCTAACATGCAAAAAGCCCTGGGTTTTGACAACAAACAAGGTAAAGAGAATAAGAAGCAATAGGTGGGTGTGGCTGGATGACCACACTTCTGGTAACATGGGGGTGTGGCCTAATATGCAAATGATCTGTGCTGTCAGGGTGTGGCCTAATATGCTAATGAGTTCCTGCTGGGCTTTTTCTACAAAAAAAGCCCTGGGGGTGCCCAAGTAAAGTAGTGGCTTTATGTTCATTACTGGGTTGTTCATCATTTGCTAGCATACCATGGTATAAACCGATTTAAATCCTAAATCTAGCCAGTATTGTGAGTGTTGTTTATCTTGATCTCACTTTGATTCTGCAAAGATCCTGGCACACAATAAATTACTTGGTGGAGAGGAACACCAACACGGTGGAGGGCGAGAAGATCTCAGCCATAATTCTTTGGTTTTTTCAAAATTTGCCCTTACCGCTTATGACTAGGAAGGTGAGAGAGTGACTGAGAGGGAGAGGTTCAGGATCCAAGACAAATACTTGAGTCGATTTTAGTATCGTGAGAAAAGCGAATGTTAAGGAATCAGTTCCATGGTTGTTTCCATTGGTTTCGGTGCAAAGCTGATTTCTGGATCAAGTCATCCGCACAGCTCCATTCTGCTTGTTTTCCGGACACACTAATCTGGTACAGAATGTTGAGAACGGGCTCCTAGAAGATTCCCACATTCCCAGCACAGTGAACCTGCTGGTGGTTGGTACTGCCTCTTATGAATAGCTGTTTCTTATGTATAGGACATATGCATGTAAATTCTCCTACACACACACACACACACACACACAGAGTTACTATATATTTAGATTGCTACTTATGAGAAAAATAAAAGGTCCCAGATACTGTGAGCCTAAAACAAGTAATAGCTTTTTACACCCACACCCACACACCCATACCATGATTATTCTTCTATACATTGCGGGCTCTCACAGGGTTGCCCGTCTTTCTCTGGCAACAGGCAGGTTGGGGGGCAGATCCTGCTTTGAAATCTGTGTCACGCAACATGACAACATCACTTCCGGGTGAAGGCCAAGATGTATTGAGTTTGGTGTCCTTTTGAAGTGGTTCACTGAGAAGGGTGCAGGGAGCTCTACACTGTGATGGTTCTCTTCTCATTTGAACAACAGGTTTCGCAAGGAGATATGGGTGGACTACTGTTTGGCCCCTTGAGTCTGGAATATGCGGGACCTAGTGGGATAGCTATTCTTTTCCCCATGCAGTTCAAAATTCACATAAAGGTTCTGGAAGAGGTTGTCTGGCAATTTAGATTGGGCCAGAGCCCATTTGGGACGGGAGCGGGACGGAACAGGGGCGGAGCAAACGGACGCGATCCCACCTCAACATCTGGGGAGCGTGCCGTCTCCGTCCCTGATCCGGCCCAAATGGCGATACCCCGCTGCAAAAACGAACCACCTATCTAGGTGGTTGCAGCCGTCTGGAGCGCCCCAAGCCGGCCGTGGGATCGGCGGCGCGTCCTTGCGCCGCCGCATCCCAACCCCCGGGCGTACTGCGCATGCTCGGGCATGCGCAGTTCGGCAGCCTCCCCCTCCCATCGGGCTCGTCCTCCCCGGCATCTGCTCTTGCCGGGGAGAAGAGGCGCTGCGGCCAGGGGATCCGTGGGATCCCGCCGCAGTGTCTCAACGTTGGAGCGGCTCTATTAGCCGCACTTTTGCTTCGTGGTTTCCCTGCCGTATGGCAGGGGCCTCAAACAAGCTATCATTAAACCAATTATCATATATTGTTATAGGTTTTCAGGTGAGTTAAAATATGGCAATTATTTCCTTATATCTTTGTGGTATAGTGGAGACTGGAATAATAGGTTTTGAGAGTGCTGCTTCTATGAAATCTACCCATTTGGAATAAAACAAAGATTGTTTTTTAAAGCTATTCGCAGTTGGCATCGATGTCGTTATTTTTTCTAAAGTATAGTGTTCCCACACTTTCCCCAGCTTTCTCCTGTTCAGTGGAAGTCCTGTTGTCTGAAGATGGTAAGGAGCTGGGAATATAGTAGCCACATAAACCTATGGCAACCAATTTGCTAGAATAATATAAAAGTTATGGAAGCAAAGGCAACTGTCAAATTATGTTTTATTATGACTAAAGCTGGCAACTTTAATATGCACAGCATTTTATGCACAGTATTTCATCATTTTAATGACAGGTACATATCACTATTAACAAGGGCCATTCATCTGCCTCTGATAATAAGAGACAGATGTGCCATCAAAGCTGGTGGCTAAGCCATTGTGTGATTGCAAGCCAAACGAATCAATGAATGTTCAGAATGTTGGTATCTTACCATTCTACTTAGCCAGTATGGAGCTCTCTGGGAGGAAATCCTTCTGCCTGCAGAAACACCCCACTGGATCAAAGCCAGTACCTTTCATTTTCCGCATCTCTTTCTCAACCACAAAAATGGTTTCACCAAGAAATCAGTTGCGTTTGCTTACTCATTCAGTGAATCGTGGTCTTTGTTTTAGATATCCTTCTCTGACTTGAGGCAGTGTAATTGCTCAGACAAATTCCAGAATTATTTATTTATTTATCCCATCTGTATCCTGCCCTCCCTGCAATGGAGGCTCAGGGTGGCTCGCAATCAGTACATAAATACAATTAAAACAACATAAAATCAACCAAAACAATTCCATTATAGTTAATACAATTTCGTAAAGTGCTGAAGATGTTAGTTAGTTAATCAGGATGGCGTACTTTCAGAGTTTACTTCCAAATCTTAGATATCGTTTTGCTCAAGATCTTCCTGTAGCTCAAGCTAGATGTCAACAACGAAGGCTAGGTGTCAAAAACCGAGGGCCAGGGCTCTATAGTGGTGGTGGCTCCCTAGCCGAAAGCCTGGTGGAAGAGCTCTGTCTTGCAGGCCCTGCGGAACTGTAAGAGATCTTGCAGGGCCCTGATCTCCACCAGGATGGGGCCACCACTGAGAAAGCCCTGGCCCTAGTAGTAGCAAGCATGACATCCTTGGGGCCTGGGAAGGTCAGTCAATTTTGAGATCTCGACCGTACTGCCCTCTGGGGTATATATGGGAAAAGGCAGTCCTGCAGTTATGTCAGACCCTGGCCATATACGGCTTTAAAGGTGAGGACCAGCACCTTGAAGCGGATTTGGTATGCTATTGGCAGCCAGTGAAGTGTCCTCAGCAAAGGCTGGATGTGCTCCCACCTGGGGAGACCCATCAGAAGCCTGGCTGTGGTATTAGCAGAATGGGTCAGAAAACCAAGTGGCCTTTCATGTTTGCGAAGCAGGTTTCATGTGCAAAATCCAACGCTAACGATATTTATTTTGTCTACATAGCTGGTACCACTGGAAGGATCTCACTTGGAAGGATATGATATGTGTAGCTCACTTTGACTGTTTTGGGGGATTGAAAGACACCTGTAGTGTGTCGGTACAAGAAATCAGAGACAGAAACACTGTTGTTTTCTGTATACAGCAAACAATTCAAGACGTGAATTCCACACTTTGAACGAAGTTGTTGCTGCTGCTAAATTAGACTTGTTCGGCCACCCTTCCCAGAGAGCAGTGGTCAAGACTGCTTATATCAATAAAAATACAATAATACTAGGTTTAAAATGGCATGAAAATTCAACAAGCGCAGTAAAACAGGACAATCCAAGATGGAGATAAATTTCCAATACCTGCTTGCCCCCTAAGTTAAGTGAAATGCAGAGCAGTGGCGGGGGGTAGGATGTGAGAGTGCTATGCCATTGCTGTCCTCATCCAAATGCCTGGTGGGACATCTCTGCCTTGCAAGCTGTATGGAATGGTAACAGATCCTGTAGAGCGTGGATATCCTCAGGCAGATAGCCAGTTTGGTGTAGTGGTTAAGTGTGCGGACTCTAATCTGGGAGAACCGGGTTTGAGTCCCCACTCCTCCACTTACACCTGCTGATGTGACCTTGGGTCAGTCACAAGCTCTGGCACAGCTGTCCTTGAAAAAGAGCAGTTTGTGTCAGAGCTCTCTCAGCCCCACCTACCTCACAGGGTGTCTGTTGTGGGGAGGGGAAGGGAAAGGAGTTTGTAAGCCGCTCTGAGACTCCAAGTGAAGGGCGGGGTATAAATCCAATCTCTTCTTTTTCTTCTTCTTCTTTCGGGCTGGAAACCACCAGGAGGTTCTTATTTCCAGATCGTAATGTCTCTGATTCAGCTTGTAGGGGTTCCACAGATAAGTATATTAAACACAAATGTTTGTGACAAAGCATAGTCCGGTTCTGCTGAATCTAAAATGTCCTTATTAAGGAAAAAGGTGCCGAAGAGGAGAGTGGTATACACAGGGGAGCTAAGTATGGTTGGATGTTAAGAACGTGGCAAAGCACAGAATTTGAAGGGTATTGGAGACAGACTTAACCCAACTGCAGGGGTGAGGTCCAGATCTTCTTTAGACATACCAGGGGCTGGCTGGAAAGTGAATCTCTGCAGGAGACTCGCAAAGAAGAGGAAGAGCTCCATTCTGGCCAGGTTCTCACCAGCACACACTCGCCGACCTGTGACAATATAGACAGGAAAGGGAAACCCTTTTTATTAAACTTGGTTATAAAGCTTTATGCCATTACCCCAATGGAATGATGGCCAAACTAACTTACCATAAAGAGAAAAAAATTAAATATGAAGGCAGACTAAAGCATCAGAATGATATAGGTAAAGGTAAAGGTTCCCTTGCTCGAAAGCCAGCCGAATCCGACTTTAGGGTTGCGGTGCTCATCTCCGTTTCAAAGCCGAAGAGCCAGCGCTGTCCGAAGACGTTTCTGTGGTCATGTGGCTGGCATGACTAAACACCAAGGCGCACGGAATGCTGTTACCTTCCCACTGAAGTGGTACCTATTTATCTACTTGCAATTTCTTGCTTTCAAACTGCTAGGTTGGCACAGGAGCTGGAACCAGAGACGGGAGCTCACTCCGTCATGCGGCACACTCGGGTCTCGAACTGCTGAACTACTGACCTTCCACAGCCTGCAGTTCAGCGCCTTAACCACTTGAGCCACCACAGCTCCGCCAGAATGATATAGTAATGAGGAATAACACTAATCTTGAATGACAAGGGGAGAAATTGCCAGCTGGGATGGTGTTCTTTCAGTTAATGGACTTGGGTACATGATCTGTTACTTAAACCCACAGTGATCCATCTAAAAGGACTTACCTGCAGAGAAAGGCAGGAAGGCATCTCTCTTGACAAACTTCCCTTCAGAATCGAGGAAGTGCTCAGGATAGAATTTAAAGGGTTTCTCCCACTCAGATTCATCGTACAGCACAGAGTACATTAACGGAATGATTTGCATTCCCTAAAAAAAGGCAAAGTGGTGAGTTATTGAAGAAAATAGCCCATCAAGTACATTAGCTAGCCTTCAAAGAAAATACCATCTTACAAAGAGAGTTACACAAAAATTCAAATGCAATGAAAGCAAAATAAAAAAATGACTTGGATGGACAGTGTTTTCAGAATTTGATTTTTTTTTGGCACAATCCAGGCAAAATCAGGCACTTTCTTATTGTTTCCATTAGAGAAACTTATGGGACATAGAAGGACTTCATTAACTCACTCTCTTATTCCATGAACTTAAATGTTCATTGCAAAAAAATTCACAAATGTGCCATATTCAACTGAACAATGAATATAAAGCAAAGAACAATCACCTTTGGGATGAAGTAGTCTCCAAGTGTGACGTCTGCAGTGGTGGCATGTGGCACGCCGGTCGGGTCAAGAATCCCAAACCTCTGAACCTCGTGAACCACCGCATCTGTATATGGCAGTTTTGCTCGGTGCTCTGTCCTTGGCTGAGCAGACCCGATGACTGTTTCTATTTCTTCTTGCACTTTCTACGAACATACACAACCTTTCCCCCCAATGGATTCAATTTCTGTTTCAGATTTTGAATTATTCCCTAAATATACTGGTCCATCTTAATTAGTATAAATGGATCTTGCATTCTTCTTTTGAAAAAGTGTCCTCAGTTAGAGATCTGGTGAGGAGGGGGCCTCTGAAGCTTGTAAAAAATCAACAAAATTATGTGTTGCTTCTGACTCAGTAAGCAAAAGGGAGAGCTTAATCTTTATTTCAACTACAGTCCTCTCCTTTTATTTCAATGAAAGTGTTATCCTTATCTTCACTTAGAAAGAAGTTATCGAGTATTGATTCTACTTTGAATAATGTCAAGGAATCTTTACATAATTTATGTGCCAGGACTGAGAGTCTTAATTTATTTCTCCCGGGGAAACTAAAGCATAATTTTTTAGTGACCCCTAATATGTCACAATTGGGAGTTTATTGTAAGGGAAAATATAATCTCAGTCTTGAACCTGAGAACTGTGACTCACAAAGAGAAGCAGGTGTTGAAATAAATAATGATGGCAACTGGACAAAATTAACATCAAACAGAGTAAATTCCAAAAGCCTGAAGAACTGCGTATTGTGAGTATTCAATTGCTTGATAGATATCTGAAAATTCAATGATGCAGTTGACTTGGAATCTCTCCTTATATATAATTGAGTAGTGGTCCCACAACGTTCTTTGCACTCCAAAATCGGTAGGCTCCGTGATGTGTCAATCACGAGGTGTTTCTATCCACTAGCTGTGTTGCCTGAGTTC